ATTATATATACGTATATAATCTTTACATACAGTCAAATATATATATCTGTATCAATAAACTTTTCTTATATGCATACAATACGTTTGATAGTTTTGTATAATTAATTAATACTATTAATAGTATTGTAATATGTCAAAAGAAAGAATTATTAAAACAAAAATTATCAAAAATTATTAAAATTATAGAGAATGATATCTTCAATATTTTCTGCAATTATTATTCTTGTTAATATATTGAATTAAATACTGAATAAATACATCAATATAATATATTTTTCTCAGTTCAATAATAACATGCAGAAATCAAATATTTAAAAATAATGTATATTTTATATATTTACAAACAACTGATTTACATTGTAAATATTGACAAAAAACAACAATATCAATAACATTTAAGTTGAATTATTTTTTATCATTTTAAAATATCATTCGATGCAATCATTAACATTTTAAATAAAAAAAAAAAACATTTTGCATGAATGAAAAATACGATTATGACTAATAAAACATAGCATCTGCACTTTTTTTAAATCAATATTCTGGCATTGAGCATTTGATAAAGAAGTCTTAACGTCAAAGCTATACAAAAGGTCAAAAATTTTAATATAATATTAAAAACATTGAAGTTGTTAATAAAAAATATTTTTGATATTGAATATCAAATATTACCATTATTATTATATCATTTATTGACAATATTTTGATAATATTTGATATTTTAAACATGAAATTGAACTTTTTGCAAAATTAAATAATCTCAGAATTAAAATAATTAACCTTAACATTAAATTTTCAATTTTTCCAAAAAATATCATTGAGAAGTATAGAAAAATTTAAATAAAATCATTTCGAAATAATATTTTTATATGTTATTGAATTTTTTCTAAATTAAAATTCAAAAAACAAAAGTTAATTTGATTTTCTCTATGGTAAAAATTTTCTTATTATCTTGAAACATTGAAGAAGTGGAAAATTTCATATCGATAAGAGAAGTCACATAATCCGTATAGCTTTGCATTTTTTCAATGAACGATCTTGATAGCACTGTAATTTTCCTACAATTATTATATGTAGGTTACTATATGTAAGATTAGGTGTAAAATATACAAAATTTAAATGAAGAATAAGCATAAGATTTTTACATTAAATATCAGCAATGAAAAAATTCGATGTATCGAATTTTCATATTTTTTTAATATTTTTGCAATTTTTTATTAATTTTATAATTTTAAAAATAGTATAACATATATATGATAATTTACTGTCATATATATAAATTTGATTATGGTTATATCAATATTTGTTTAAATATTGATATAACAATCATTAATCTAAACATAGTGAATCTTTAATTTTTCTAATTTGAAGATTTGCTTACTATTGGATTATTTGGATTACATAACTTTTTTGAAAAATATTTAACACGTGTTTGAACTGATATAATTCAATGGGTGTTAAACCCATTGCTAATATTTCAAAATGTTACATTCTATCAAATATTGAAAACTTTCATTAAAAGAAAATAATAAAAATTAATTACACTGATTAAATATATTTTTCAAATTAATATAATAATAAGTAAATGTATAATAAACTAATTCATGGCACAATTTATTTATTATTACATTTTATCATATCTTTTTATCTAAACTCACCTTTTTTTAAAATATTTTTAATTAGAAATATTTTTAAAATTAAAGTTATAATTACAATTGAATGAAATTTAAATTTCATAACTTAGATAACAAGTTTTTCTTCGAATTATACAGTAATATTTGATTCTGTATTACATGTATACATGTGACGAAGAAAAGTATATATTTTAATATCAAATTTCATTCATAAATCTCGCTTTAAAAGTTATTAAATAAAATAATAAGTTTTTACTAATAATTTCATAAATTTGTCCATCTTCTTTATTATTAATTATTATCGTATCCTTTGTACAAAGGATTCAATTGATCAAGTTAGTGATAACCATAGTTAAGTTTCAATTGACTTAACACCCTCTTATTTATAACTGTGCCCATTAGATGCATTGAGCTAGTGACACAATTCTCATTCTTAATTTGAGTTACTTGAGAAAATGAATAACATTTCGTTTCATTGTGTATATATATCATTTATATTCTTTAAATCTAAGTGTCGAAGAGTTCTGGAAAATGAAAATACGTAGATCTAACTATAGTTTTTTAGTATATTACGACTTCAATCAATATACTATAGTTGAAATCACAAAAACACGAACAATTATTATATCTTATGATAACATCGAATTTTACAAAACCAAAAGTGCTATTCAATGCTTGTATGACTTGACAAAAAGTTGTCGATAAAAAAATTTATTCATTTTTAAAAAATGTAAACTTTTGAAATACTTATTCTTTAAATTTTGATTCTTTGAGTTACGCCATTATTAAACGAATAGCTTTATTCTTACGTTATATTTCTCTGACATAGAAAATTACATTCGTATCAAAGAACAGAACAGTCAAGACATTGATTAAAATTATTTATCGGTTCTAATGGTCACACAACATCGATTTAGTAATGGCGTTTGCGCATTTCTCTACTCTCATTTTGTTCCTTCGTGTAAATATCAGTACTGCGCAGGACGGAAATACCATAGTGAAAGCAGTGGAAAAGTACTGGGATTCTTGGAGGGTGCTATAAATTTGTATTACAATACAACAAGAGGGTATGCTTACGAATAGAAAGGTTCTTTCGACAAAAGGTATATAATCTAAAATTTTCGGAGTTTGTTCATCCGTAAGCTTCCTATTGAATAATCTTTGGATTCGTACGTTACATCTGACATATATATAGAATATATTATAGAAAATCGTGGTACAACTGAGAAAGTGATGATTTTACGTGTAAAAATAAATCGAAAAAGAGAATGAATTTCTTTCGTTTCAAGTTTTCGTTTAAATTAAATTCAAAAATTGTTTAAGTGAAAGTGACGGATTTCTAATTACATATAAGTGAATTATTTATAGTATGTGAAAATGTGAAAATGGGAAAATGTAGAATAAAATATTTTTTTTCATTCAATATTAATTTTCAAAAAATTTGAAAATTTCTTGATTGTGTAATTTTTTCTTAAACAATGATATAAAATATTATTGTATAATTTTTAATTATTCTCATATGTAGAATAATCTCTTATCATCATATAATTCATTCGAAAATTAGCCAATTTCACATTTCTACATATAAAATTATCCTCTGTACAATTATTTTCAATATATTCGCTCTATAAGTTGGAAATTTATAAAAATCCATAACTTGAATGCTACAAATAATAATCCTATTTCTAATTTAAATAGTTTCTTTTTAACAAAATTATATATTTTAAAAAATAAGAATAATCAAAATATTTCTAATAAAACATTATATAAACATTGTATTATTTTATAATATATGAATATATTTATTACTAGTTATGAATTAATGAGATAATCTAATCGCAATGAATAATAATTAATAAACAATTTTCAAGCAGATCAAGCAGATCTTCTCATACATAAACTTCTAAAAAAATTTCTTATACGTTTAAGTAATAAAAATATTTCCAACTAAATTAAAACCACATTGACAAATATAATTTATTATAATTGTTTATCATTTCATTTCCCTCGAAAAAAATCAATAAATAATTACATTTTCAAATTATCCGATCATAATGCATCAAGTTTAATTTTAAAGCAATTAATATAATAACCACGTGCAAACCTGTTCCAATTTCATCGAAGCAAAAGTAATATCGATCTATGTTCTCGATTAATAGATACAAAAATTATTCGTGAATATTAAAGAAGAGAAAAATTTAAGAAATAATTAGCATTTTTCTGGAAAATATATGAAATACGCATTTCTAAATCCTTCCGTTTAATAAACAGAAAATCATACGACGAAGAATCGGCAGCGATAACCTGGAACACGCTTAGGGAGCTGACATGCAGCGGGGAACGAGGGGTGGGGGGCCGGGACGAGCACGTGCTCACCGAGTGATAGAAGTTTTTTTCTTCGACCGAATAAGGTGACCCTATCCTGATAGTGGGGTCCCACGAACGAAGCGAGCAAGTACGCGAGTAAGCGCGTAGAATGCGAGGAATTGTTGCTGCTAGTAAAACAAAGACGGAAAATTCGTTCTACAACGTAAGATAGCATAGGTGAGAAAGGGATAGAGATTATGATTGAGCGAGATGGGAATATAGACAGGTGGGGGAAAGCTCAAGTGTAAAAGTAGTGGGGAGTTACCTTGTGCGCAGTGCATAAGAGAGACATAGAGATATGCAACTGAATAAATGGAAAAGAGACACTATATGGGAAGTATACGGAATATTGTGTGTGTGCATAAGTGAGTGAGAGCGAGAGAAAAAGAGAGAGAGAGAGAGAGAGAGAAATGTGCATTTGATCGAAAAACTAAGAGAGATACACCGGTTATGTATATTGTCAGAGAATAGAAGATATATTTCGTGAAAGCTGATAAAGTAAAGAGAGGTATATAGTTGAAAAAGAAATATGCGGGATGCCAGAGAAGGTGAGAGTGAGACAGCCAAAGTGCATGGAACGCAGTATGAGAAAAGCAAAAAAGAAGCATGAGCTGAAAGTATATGGAAGTATAAACGTGTGTAGTTAAGCAGTTATACAACATATAAAATAATCTCACATTATTACGCACCAAACGAAATATCATTTTATATAATAATTCGTACGAGAAGGATGTATCAATATAATAATAAATATACGTGCAATCTTTTTATTAATGTATATACAGCTGCAACGCATATATACGCATACATACGCTTGAGAAGAAACACTGACTTTATCAATAAGGATAAGGAACGTTCTGTGAAGAAAAAAAAAAGAAAGAACAAAACACCCTGTAAATATATAGATATATATAATGTGTATAAAACATTCAAGTGAGATACATAGACCGTAACTTTCGAAGAAACGAGCTCCAGAAAATACATTGCAAGAGCGTCAGAAACAACTGAGGATCGTTCGTTCGTGTTAAGCGCGAGCGATAAAGATAGAATATTACGAGAATGTGTAGGAGCTTCGGTAAATAAGCGAGCGCAAGAGAGGGGGTTGAATAGAAAAGAGAGAGAGAATAGAGAGAATTCTGTAGTCCGTAAACGCGGTGCTCGTGTTCAGTCGTCTTCAGTCCAACTTGGATACGCTCTTCGGCTCGTCCTCAGCAGCCAGTTTTCATAAGCGTATTCGCGAAATACTTTTTCCACTTCGCCGTGAGTTACCAAAGGTGAATGCACCTGTACAAGCAGCTTCCAACGAGTATCTATTCCGACTAACGAGTTCATTAACGAAACCGGTCTAATTTATTTGAAATTCTATCGGAAGGAAAATCTTCTCCTTCTGTCTGAGCAATCGTCTCAACTCGTGTGCGCGTCGAAATTAGTAGAAAGATTCGTATTGGATGTGATAAAACGGAAATATCGTATCTAACCGCGAACATTGCTATTCCGCTTTTGCGTGCTGAGAATGTTTCTTATTGCACCAGTGGACAATAATCGCTGGGCCTATACGATGCACGGATTGGAGAAGCCTATGGATCACGTGTCTGGTAATGTGTCTGCTAACTATATTTTAAATATTTGCTCATAATCAATGACTTTTATTATCTGGTATCTTGATATACACGTAAGATTTTCATGATTTTTATTATAGAAGCAAACAAAGATTTTTTACATGCAAAATTTAAATATTCGTGCATATTTTTTTAATTCTTTAAATAAAGTTTGTCCAAAATAAATTTGGATTTATTGATTTTTTTTGTTGATATTTTTCTGGTTAAAATTTAATTATTGCGATTCTTTCTAAGTTTAAACATTTCTAAGTTTAACATCATTGTTAAAAAAAAAAAAAGATAATTATATTATTGTAAGGCGCGAATAGTAAGAGTAATATCTAGAGATTTAATTTTATTTTATCCTCATGTTTTATTAGAATGTTCAGTTCCGTTAATTTAGTTGGCCTACAAAATAACAGACGCATGACACGAAAGAAAATAATATTTTCAATATTTCAATAAAAGCATACGTACTTAAAATATTTATTTCTTATGATAAGTATCGTTTTGTAAACTCTTGTTCGCAAACTAATACAACTTTTCTAACTTTTATTAAAATAATGACAGTAATTTGCAATAAAATATGTATTTTATCTCGATTATATTTACATTTTAAATGAACTTTGTGAAAGTTAGAAAATAGAAAATTCGAGATATTTAATATTATATTGTAGGTATTATACTTTATTATTATTTATTATTCTTAGATTTTATATTGATTTTTTTATGATTTCTATACTCGAAGTATTTTCTCTAGTACAGTATCTTGTTACTATTATGAAATATAGAATGTAGCTACTTATCTCTCAGAGTATTGTACTCGTTCACCTCGTACTACTGCACTGGTAGATATATGATATACCGCTTGAATATATAAATTTAATATTTAATAATTTAATATTAATAATTAATTTATTTTTTATTCAAAGTACAGAGATTAAAAGGAAAATAATAGTTTTCAATTCTAAAAAAGAAATTTTAATTATGTAGTAATCTCAAAAAATATTATTTTTAATTTTTATCGTAAAACTTTTTTATTCGAGTATGTTTATATCTAAATAGCAAGACAGACAAGTTAAAGACAATATTACGAAAGTAAATATTGAGACACACGTCCTGGGAATTCGACTAGTAATTTCAGAATCCAAACGAATTATTCTATATAACGTGTGTTTAAATTCTCACATCATACAGTGGAAAAAATTGCTAAATTAAATATTAAGTCAACTTTATGAAATCTACGGAATCAACAATTAAGATTAAAAGAAAGTTGGCCAAGATTCTCATAGCAAAAAATTGAATTGGAGCTGATTACTAACAATTTGTTGTCTTTCTTGATCTATTGTTTCTCTTGCTTGTGCAAACATTACAAATGATTTAAATTATTCATATATTTGTATAAAAATACATAAGTTAAACTAAATTTGAAACTTCCATTGAAATTTCCAAATAAAAAGAAAAAAAAAGAAGAAAAGAAAAAAGAAAAAAAAATGTTGAGTAAAAACAAACAATAATATTGATTTTTCGTATCTGAAATGTTATCTAGGTCAAGATACTATTTTTTAAAACACTTAGTCATTTATCAATATCTCGATTGCACTTATATTTATATATATATATGTATATTTATATAAATAACATACATATAAATAATATAAAAATTTTTAATTTTTAAAAAAAATATCAATAACGAAATTGTATCGTATAATGCAAAATATTCTAAGATTATATTTAAACGTAGCATAATAATGAATATATGTATATATAGTAATTAGAAAGTGAATTTTCAAGTTGCCCTTGTTAGAAAAAAAAATATTTTAAAACTAAAATATCTTGTCGTATTTTATCACTGTACATTATTGATTGAAAAATGTGGTAAAAAAAAAAAATGCAGTAGTGAAAAAATTTAAAAAATATTTTTGTGAACGATCAAATGATACGATAAATTCATTCAGAAACTGAAATGTTGATATCATGATAAATTATAAGTAATAAATTATTTTTTTAAACTAATATCATGCTATGGTTTGAATTAGTTATTATTACTTTAGAAAATAATTTAAAAAATTTATAGAAATATACATGATGTGTTTTTAATTACAGCTAATTTAATATTCTAATAATAATCATACAAATGTTTGAATTAATAAAGATGATAATACATTGAGATGAAAGATGAAAAACATTTGTACTCCATATGCGTTGTATATTCGTTTTAGATTAATATGGATTATACAAAAGAAACGATATACAGCGTTAAAGAATAATTAATAAGTTTATATAACTATAAGAATATTAATAATATTCTAATATTAGTAGCATCAGTAATATTACATGATATTAGTTTAAAAATTAATTTAAATGATTTAAGAAAAATCTTGAATCAAATTTTAATTTGAAGAAATGTAACTAACTCTAAGTTTTAATAATTTAAATAACAATTTCACGTTATAAATACTAAAAATTACTATCAAATTGTAAAGGTATTTATAAATTTTTTTACTTGAAAAACATTTTAGAAAATTGTAATCTTCAATCTTTTAATTCTCAATATTTCTAACTTGAAAATCTAAACCTCTTCTGAAATATTTTATAATATAATAAAATAAAATTGAAAGATTACATCTTTATATTATTAGAACGGCCATTAAGCGTATTCGGTTTATTAAAGTGATGATTGTAATAACCGTTGTAACTTGAGCTATATACCGTGATGTAACGAAACTCATCTTCAACGTAGATAGAGAGGAGGCGTGAAAAATGGGCCTCTGTATTTTACAACAACATATGGCATCCATTTCATAAACACATAATCTCTCGCGAGATGTGCGTAAAAAAATCGAATCATCTGATAAAAAAAAAAAAAAAAGAAAATAGAAGAACATTGTTTATTCTGCACAATTTCATTTAATCGTAAATTCGCATTTTCATTTTACGTGATTTTTAAACAAATCACACCTTCGACACTATTTCCGTTCTCACGAAGGCGTTCTACAATCAGGATATGTAATGAATCATTCTCGATAGACGCGACTAAATTTAAATACGATTACGCTCACTTTGTAACTTTGTTTCAAAAAAGAAGATTTATTGTTTCTGTTTATGTAAAAACTGAAAGATATGAAGGAAGAGGATATCCAAAAATATTTTCATTTCTGCAAATATTTTCGATTTATATTTGTAAAAAGAGAAAACAGAAACGATTAGATACTTTTGCCGCACGTATAGCATAAGTCATGTATAGAAATTATTTTGAGAATATCAATTTCTAAATATAAATTTCTCAAAATAATTTCTTTGTATATTTTTATATTATCCTATTTCATTGAATATTGAATTGAATTTGTAATAATTAAGTGCATTGATATAACTTACATCAAATAATTTAAAATAATGCAAAATTATGGCATAATTCCATTTTCTATCAATTGAACTTATACTGTTACGATTTTCAACCTTCAACATCAGATTAAAAATTATGCTGAAAGCATGTGTGATAGATTTTACTACGCTAGATCTCATTGAAGAAATGATAATGGAAAATATAGAAAAGAAGGTAATTTGAGATTGTGAAATCAAAGCTAAGAATTGGGATTATTTATTCTGGAAACTACTAAATTTAGATTTCTTATAATACTATTTCAGTAAAAGTCATTTCGGTTTTCTCAAAGAGAAATGAGATTGAAATTGGATCGTTGCCAAGTTATTCTTTTACAGAATTGATATAGAATTTGTGATTCTATTTTGAACTATCTCACGAATTATCTTACAACTGAAATAAAAAAATCGAATGTAATTTAATTCATTCGTAATTATAATAGTTTTTTTTTCGCATGAAAAATTTATTTTCATCTATCTAAAGTATATTTTTATCTATCTTTGTTTATTTGAATATACATAATGATGATAAAACTTTTATTCAATAAATTATTCAGTTGTATCGATATGTCGAATGTTAAATAATAAAAAAAATTTAATAAATTCTAATAATTTACTATTCACCAATAGTAAAATATCAGAATAAAGTTCAATAAGATTTCTTATTTACACATTGTTACAAAAAAATGTTTATATCTTTTCAAAGATATAACATGATATAATTTATCATAATTTATGCATAATCACAATTTTTTTCCCCTTTTTACGTGTACTTCAAGACCACATAAAGTAGTTATAAATATTCTATGCAAGTGACTTTGTGTACAGTATGAAGATCCAAGTAAAGAAAAAAAAAATTATTGATCATTTTATGTTGTTCAAACATGTCTTATATCTTATAATATCTTATAACAACTACGTTTGTTAATGAACTATTGTTTGGTATTATCAACAGCATTATTATCAGCAATTATTATGATTTTATCTAAAGCGTTGAAAATTCCATAGATACTCAATTTCTATATTTTTAAGTATTTCCATGTATAAATCGACAAAAAATTATAAGATAAGTGAAAAATAAATAAGAAAATAAGAAGAGCTAAAGTCGAAGAGATATATCGTTTAATAAACGATGTGTAATGAATATTGATGTATGTATACGCATACATTATAACTAAAATGTGATGCGATACAACGAAGGCGCCATCAATTTGCAATCGTTTTTGCGTATGAAGCAAAATTAAATTAAAGTCGAAGAAGTATTAAGAACGCAAAATTTTTCGTAAACAATCGAATTACGTAATATTGAAAATCACGTGGTATAAAACATGCACAACATGTGTACTTATAAAAGAAGTTTACGCGGCAAATTTCGATAGAATATTTTGCTGATAATTGAAAATATGCTAAAAAACTGAATAATCCTGAAAATATTATTCTTAACTATAAATGAAAAATTGTGTTCTTTTTTAGAAATAAATATAATGACTATCTATCGATTTAATGTGTATTGATGAAATGAAAAGAATGTTAACAATTCAAACAATGATTTATCTTATTCATTAATGTTTTTTTTTTCGAAAATTATTTAAAGATTGCTAAAAGCTAGTGAAGAATGTTGAATGCTTGAAGCAATTATTTTTTAATTTTAAAAATTAATGAAATTCGTCGAAATTTATTTGTTTCTATATCCAAAGTAATATTTATTATTTAAAAATTTTTATTTGAAATTGCCTATAATTGACATTAACAATTTTGAAATCGAATCTTACATATTTTGATAAGTATTAAGAAATTTGTTGGGTTCAATAGAATTTAATGTTTTATGTCGCAAGAAATGTTTTTGAAATTAACACCATATCTTTCTTTTTTATGATTTTGTCTAAGTGAAAAATATAGTGTTACAATCAATTAGAAATTACGAATAAAAAATAAAGTATTACATTATTAATGATAACAAATCTAGAAATATTTCAAAACACTATTTTCTAAATATTTAAACATTATTTATAATTATACGAGCAAATCGTAATGAGATAATAAATTCTAAAATACGATAATAAGTTGTATAATAATAAATTGTTGATGCTATGATATATTCTTTTATAGCTCTTTTTCAATTCGATGATTATATTTTTAGCTTTTTTGATATAAACTTTAATTGTGAAAATTAAACAATTTTAAAAATCAATTTTGAAAAATATTTTTCAAAAAATTTTTAGATCTTTGATCTTATTTTCACAAAATAAAAATAAAGGGGATGAAATTAAAGGTGGGAACAAATTTCAGATGGTTTATGTAACTTTGATGCGATGACATATTCAAAAATTTATTTTCGAGTGATTTTTTAAACTTATTTCACAGATTTTCCTATATCTTTTCTCCTTAATATCTAACATAAAACATAAAAATATTTCATATTAATTATAAAAGAATTATAATCTCTTTTACTATCACGTAGTGATAGTTAAATATAAGATAAAATTAATAAAATCATTTGATGTTGTTACTGTAAAAAACAAAATTCTATAATTGTATCAACTCTGAATTAAATTTATATCGTCGATAACCTTACTATCAATGACGTCAATGTTCTTTCAAACTCCATTTCATTATCTTAAAAGTGATGTGAAATGAACAATATTCTACAATATTTCTACAACCATAATTACTGAAATAATTTGAACGTTCAATTTTTATAACACTCAAATAACAATTTTAATTATACATTAAATTTAAATTTAAATTTCACCCAAGAAGATCTAAATACACGATCCTAAATTATATGAACCGAATATATAGTATGATCGAAAAAAAAGATGTGCAATTTTTATTTAAAATGAAACTAACAAATAGAGAATATAAATGAAGATATATTATAAATAAATATTAAATTTTAAAAAGTGAATTATTTACAACGGATTATAACACCGGATTTTTTAAAATAATCGAAAATCTAAAATAAAGAATACAGAAAATATTGTGAATATATCAGGATAATTTATATTCATTTTTTAAAACAATTTTTAAAATAATAAATTCTGATATTATCTATATATACATATATTCTTCCGTGTATAAGTTGATGCGATGTATCAACATCGAAAAAAAAAAAAAAAAAAAGAAAAGACAAGTCAAAATCTTATAAGAAATCCTCCACGTAACATTTTCGATCAATTAATCATTACAATAAATCTCAAATCTTTTTGAATTATTGTACTAAACAAAAGCACGTTGTTACGCGAAATGACTCAACTAACCACTTCAAGATAATAACAATTGCGTCGTAGTTTTTCACGATAAAGGAAATTCATTTCGATTAGTTCTATAAGTACGTCGAATCAATTTAGTCAAAGAATTTCAAAGATAGAAAGCATATTATAAAAAAAATTGTTTAATTTTGTGCAGCTGGTGGCCTAATGGCAGGTTCCGTGGCTACCTTGGCGATCCTATGGGTCTCTCTACAAACCATGGGATTCCTTGGAAATACGCATACGATCGGTGCCTATAAATTGCCAATTTCCTTGCAGAACTATCTTGCCAGTTATACAGGTAAGTTGTCCATTTTTCCTCCATTTTATGTATTATATTATTGTTTTTTCTTTTTTTTCTATTGAAGAAAATTTTAATCACGAATTGCAGTGTGTTTGATGATAAATTTTATCCTGGATTACTATCAATATTGAAGTTGATTGTTATAAATATTTTATTTTAGAGTTTACTTATTTATATATATGTTGCATTTTAAATGGTAATCCAGGATCAAATACATCATCCTTTGATAAAAATCAAAGTAAGTGTAAGTGAAAGTATTGTAGAAAAAGTAATGTAAATATATGCAATTGCTTAACATTGTTTGTTGTGAATTGTATTTGTAAAATATTATTGAAATTATAAATTAAAATTAGAGATATGTTTGATAATTTTGCAATGTTCAATTAAATTTCATATTTTGAAGTGGGAGAAACATTAATGTTTACTTTTTTAAATAAGAATTTTTAACTTTCAATTTATATTTAATATTTGGATGCTTTTTATCAATATCTATGATTTGTTTTCCTATAATTTTCTTTAATCTACATCCATTTTATATATAGATTTATATAATTACAATTATCAAACATTCATTTCTAATTGATAATTATTTGAAATTTCTAATTATGAAATATCTAATATTTAATAATCATTTTATTTTAAAATGATATTTGAAATAAATAATGAACACAATTGTAACAAATACTGTTTTACAAATTGTGTTCGCATCTTTATTATCTTGCAATTTGGAATTCTATTAAACTATATAACAAAAATTTGTATTTGTATACTTCAAAATACTTCAAAATACTTATAACGACAATAATTTAATTCTACATAATCCTATCTGAATACAAACATTAAAAATTAAGAATCGCTCGACTTGTTTCAAAAATTTTCTAAAGAATACAATATTTTACCGATAAAAAAAAGATTCTTTCCACAACAATTTATGTCTTACACATTACAAATAATACACACACTTAGCCACAAACAATAATTATCCGTTATATAAAACTTACGCAAAATTGGAGAAGATACATTATCTTATACGTAAACACAATTTAAAAACATTAACAGTTGCAAAATTCTACAATAGTAAAAAAAAAAAAAAAAAAAAATAATTATACGTACTTTTCCTCCTCGATATATCTTTTTATGCCTCACACAAATTGTTTTGAACAACAATTTCGTATAGAAAAAAGAAACGAAACTTAAAAAAGGCTCGATCCGTTAGACCCGTGTTGAATTGATTGAATTCCTTTTTTACCGACGTTTTTAAAGGTATCCTTTCAGGTTTGCCGATGACAAACTACCCTTACGAGGGCGGCGTCGTAGACACGGGTCGTACCCATAATCGGCGTTACCCTCACATTGACGAAGCGGTCTTGAACAACTCGATCAGTTTCGCGCAAAGCTTGGTCGATCGTATGAGCACCCTCGAAAGGAATATCGCGAATGCTGGCGTCGAATTGATGGCTCACACGCCGGCTGGAAAACAATTCCTTGATTCATATCCTTCCGAGGATGCTTTCGAGAGAGGCCTCGACGCCATAGTGGCGATGAAAGCTTCGTCCTATCTCCTTCATCAGAGCTGTCACAGGTAACATATACCTCTTAGGTCAAAGGTCAATTTCTGATTGGCTGTTACACATGTCTATACAGGATGTTTCCTTACTGGTGAATGTCGCCTTAGGGATTAATTCAGCGTTTAAAAGTAATCGGAAAATTTCCAATCCAATCTGAAATCTATCTTCCATATTTTGCTCGATTTTAGGGATTAAGATTTATGGATTGCTTATTCTGGAAAAAGTCGATTATTTTGAACTCGATTATTTTGAAGATTGATGATGGGAGTTTAAAAAATTAATATATCAAAGTATTTTCTTTTTTTAATTATAATGATATTATTTACATTGTTGTTATTTTATTTACGAATTCGTAGGGGAACGATACACGTTACTTTTGAACGCTGAATCTTTCTTTAAAGTGGATTTCGTTTAAAAAAAAAAAAAAAAAATAAACATTGTATTTAATATATCATCTGGAAAAATGGAGGAAATTGTGCAAAAGGAAGATTCTTTTTTTCAAAAAGGGAGATCCAAATTTCATATTACTTAAACACTTGATGTTGAAATTGAATTTTACTCTATTAACATTCGTCTATACGTTCTTATCTAATTCTATTCAATATATGGACCTTCTATATGAAATACATAATGATAATAAAAAAAATATATTTTATAGAAGTATTTACAATGGGAAAAATTCAATACACCGAAGTAATTTTTCGTATCAATTATCTACTTCGAGTAAATAAATAAACACTTCTTGTTGTTTCTATTTTTCTTGAACGAATCATGATATGATAATGTTAAATATTATCATTATTTTGATTATTTATCTAAAAGGTTATGAAGTGGTGCAATATTAAAACTCGAAATCTTGTTCTTCAATTAAGCAATTTAGATTTATAGATATTTCATTACAATTTTCGTACTAAAAAAACTATTAACTTATAAATCTATTTTGTTGCTTAAACTTTCAATGAAACTTTCAATGAAAGTTCTTGCTGTGTTTGCAAAATATCGATTGAATTTATTTTATTGTAATGTTCCGCTTATAACATTAATCTAATAAAAATGCCTTTTTGCACAATGAGCAATTCATTAAAAGAATTGTTTCCTACTGGGATATCAAAAGATGGTTATAATATTGTCATTTATATAATTAGAATATTATATAATTATATTTTATTTATTGTAAATATAAATAAAATATGGACGAGATAGAAATAAATAAGATTTGTAAAATATTTTGAAACCATCTTCTGAACTCCTAATAGTGCTTTATTCTCTAAAATGTAAAATATTTTCTATATTCTAAAATTCACTAACCATAATTCTTTCAAAATTTTTAATCGAATATCGACAAAACATTTTATATTCAATCATTTATCATTTCTTATTTATTTTTAATTTCTACATTTAAATTTATATATAAATGATCCTCATCTATGTCATCTTTACACGATGAATGATTTTGTGTTTTAAAATTATGAAAAACATTCCTTGTGAAATTACTAATTTTACATAAAATAAGATTTTATTTATTTAAAAATTTTATGAAACTAAATATTATTTTATATTTCATAAAATTTTTTATGAATTTTTTATGAAGTTATACGTTGTTTTAAATATCTTGAATAAAAATAAGAAAGAAATTATTTTCAAATTAAAAAAAAAAAATATGTAAAAGTAAAGGTAATGTATGCAATTTAAAAAGTATTTAAAAAGATATAAATTTAAATTTTTATATTCTATTCCTATCTAATTCTAGCATATAATTCAAACATCATTCAATAAAACACTTCAAGAGTATTAAATTTATTGCTCCTGTCACAATCAGTGTTATACATTCGTAACATTTGTTTCATTATTGAGCATTCAATATTATCAACCTTATTATTTGCTACTAAATAGCTCATTGAAAATTATTGCCACTTCGAATACAATATCACGCTTAACCAAGCAAATTAATTATACAAATTACTCTTGCAAAAACTCTATCGTGATAGATCCACCTCTGAATTTATATACAGAAGCACAAAATCTTTTTTACCTCTCTTAAACCACAAAAAAACTGACAGCCTTAATGACAATAATATCCCATAATATATTCATATGGTGCAGCATGTTGTCACCATCAGTAATAGTCAAATATGTGGACGACTGTTTACAATCCTGCTACTCGTGATTGCAAAACGATAACAAATCGACCGATCGATATTTGTTACAGATTCGGCTTGGACAAAGACGATTGCGCTCGTTTCATATCAACCTTGTCGCTGGAGGGGACTCCGTTGAACTCAGCCTGTCCATCATCGCGACACAAGGGTTGCAATTCTCTGGCCAAGTACCGAAACATCGACGGCAGTTGCAATAATGTCCAAAATCCAAGCTGGGGTAGTGCGATGACCGCGTACACCAGAATTCTCTTCCCCCAGTATTTCGACGGTAAGGATGTTTCCTACCGTGTGACGATCAGCAAAAAAAAAAGATAAAGAAAAAAAAAAAAGAAAAAAAAAAGAAAAAGAAATTTAAAGACAAATGACTTGTCTACCATATTTCACTACAATCGTCGTCCGTTTTAGAAAAATTCGCGAAAAAATTCGTACGGTATGCTCGAATCATTATTATCTCGTTTCTCGCTGGGCACACTTCGAATCGGTTTTTTATCTCTTGCTCGTAACGCGTAACGCGATACGCGTCGTTTCCCGTGTTTTAACGCTCGGCTTGACGGAACTCGAACGGACTCAAGAAACGGAAATAAACGGAAAGAAGAATATATCGAGATACATTTGAACCCTCTATACCGTGTACCGTGGTGTTGTCGTTATTTGTGTGGAATAATAATCGTTCAATTATTTGCAGCCTCTGAACGCTTGGCGCTTCCTTCTTTTCTCCTTCTCACGTATCCGTCCCCCTCACTCCTCTTGTCGTTTGATTGTTTCTTTTTTTTTTTTTTATTTTCTTGTCGTTGTAGTTAATGCATTTTCTTCTGGAAGGGAATTCGATTTCGTTTTCTTTTAATTTAATAACGATTTAGAACGGCCGATGATCCAAGGATATTTTCGATCACGTTTATCGGATCACATGCGATTTTCTTGCGGAAATAAGAGATTTTGCATATTCTTATTTTTATTGGGATATATATAGGATGCGCTTGATCTGTTTTCATCTGTGTGTGGAGATGTATCGGTTCTTGTGTACGTGTCCCACGTTTGACGATTTCTATTTTCTATTTCGTATTTTCGATTTCTGAGTATTGAGAAGAGACGAGATTGATAATTTTTTGGTTGTTGTATTATTAATACATATACAGGGTGTCCTAGAAATATGTAATACTTTTGATTAATACGTAAATATATATATATGTTAATTTGTCAAGTAATATTCTGCAAACGCAACCACAAATTGAATATGGATTATCCTTTTGGTAAAATTTATAAAAAGAATTATAGCTGAGATGAAAAACGTTTTTACGACTAGTTCTTTTTATTCGTCCATGAAGAAATTGAAAACACACTTGTCTGTTTTTACATTTGAATAAACTTACACTTCTTCTCGTACAGAATGTTTCACGTTTAAATAAAAAAATCTTCAAGATTATTAATAATATCGAAGATATTATTATATTTGAATTATATATTTGAAACAGAAATTAAATAACATTATTGAATGATGTTCTATTTTTTTTTTTATGATTCTCTTTCAAATAAAAAATTTTTATACTTAAATTATAAAACATATGAAAAATTTAAAGTAGGCTAATTTCAAGTATTTCTGACTCATACGCCTGCATATGTATGTTTCTAAATAACTAAGAATATTACTGAAACGATAAATAGTACAATAAATTTTTTTTTTTTTAAATGGAGATTTAAGTACTTTGTGTCTCGTGTAAAGCACTGTATTTATGCAGAATAATTCAAGGACATTACTCATATATATTTCTATGCATACAAGTGATGATTCTAATTTTATTTTACTTTTTACACACTTTTTACGTACATAATTGAAAACGAATTAATTGAAAATTGAAATATTAAATATTATACGAATTATTATTTTTATCAATTCTAGGACACTCTGTAATTACACTGTACTCTGTTACATAATTCTCACGATGAATTAAAAATGAAAAAAATCCTTTTCTAACTTTATCCGATCACAGGTTTATTCGATTATTATCTTTGATCAGGTTTTTCTTCCCCCCATAATTCATTTTCGGAAATTTGATTCGCCAACAACATATGGTTACAAGTTATCATACACTGTCATTCTTTTAAAATTCTTCGCCTCACTCGTCGGCCGTTGATATATTTAACAAAAATCCGCAAAATTTCGATAAAAACTTTCCTCGAACGGCACTAAAATATAAAATGATTCTTTCATATTCATGATTCGATGCTCATTACGGTGGTGGTATACGCGAGTTACCAGCCTCGACCTACTAACCCACCTACTCCTCATATCGACACCTTGCAAAAGTATATACGATCACACACGACACGCAGAGGAAGCATATCACACACGTTTGTCACACAACAGACGCTATTAGTTCAAAAATTTAGTATCACTTCTAATATTTAAAAAAAATTCTCTTCCATTCTATCGATACGTTTTATCTTTGATTTTTGTACATATATATACCTTTCGTCGATTCGTTCGTCAATGCTCGATACATTAGATGATCTTATCTTTCCATTGTATTCTCAATTTTTAATTGTTTTAAATTAATTGTGAAAGATTATTACCCATCAATCGTCGAATTATCTCTTTTTATTGTACAGTTAAACACACGTCGATTTAAAACGTATATATATGAAAAGAACCTTTTTTTTATTAAAAAATTTTTATTATTATTTTACACAATGAATATAATATAATATATCTTCCCGACGAATAAGTGAGATCAAACTTTTGAACGATAATATTATACATTTGTACCCTCTATCTGTGTTACGTACACATACAAAAAAAAAAAAAACGAACACACTCTCTTATCCTTGGGCGCTAATGGACAAAAAAGAAAAAAAAAAAAAAAAAAAAAACGTTCGTCGATTGGCTTAACAAATTTTATTCTGTGATTTGCATTACAGTTGTTGTGCGATAAGGCACATAGAGCATAAAATGCCTGAGTGTAGCAGTGAATAATACTGCCTACAATAGGGTGCCCCGGTCGGGAGATTCTATCCAGCAGTAGAATGTGTATGTAAACTAATTCGGATATATCTAATAATGTATCATATTTATTATTGTAACACTAGTTCAAATATTTTTTCTGTTGATTGCGGTATACGGGTCTCGTTAAAGGTGTCCGAGGCAAGCGAATGAAAATTGGGAGTCATTCGCGCGGTTTCAAATATCTTTTAAATCCGTCCTCGAAACTCTTAAACATTTTTTTTTTTTTAATTTCCTTCGATTACAAAATTTTTATTACATTTATTCGTATGCGCGCATTTGAGCAGTCGTATCGAGTGTCATCAAGCATCCATCATCTCCCAATTTGATTTTCTCACTTGGGCACCTTCATCAGCCACATAGATAAGTCACTTGATCCCTTCTGTAAGCGTTCTCGACGTGATTGTCCTTTTTTTTTTTTTTTAATGAACAAGCACCATTGTGTCGTGGCAAATTAAGAACAGAATTCATAGTTCACGAATGGAAAAAAAAAAAAAAAAAAAAAAANAAAAAAAAAAAAAAAAAAGAATAAGAAAATAATCTGTTCTCGAGCGTCGATAACGCATCAGAATATCACGTCAAACAAAAAAATAAGTAGAAGACAGAAGTATTTTGTACTGCTCTGCAGCGCGAGAGTCGTCGTTTCTCGGTCGATTCAGAGATCAATCAGCGTAGTATATTCAGGATCCAAGGAAAAAAAAAAAAAAAAAGAAGAAGAAGAAGAAGAAGAAAAGAAAAGAAAAGGGAAAAAGAAAAATCTTAATCGATTCATAGTTGAAAAGAAATCATCGTTGCTGAAAATTTTTAACTCGAAAATATGATGTCTCCTACTGATTGGTCTCTGATGAATTGAATGGTCGCGCGCTGAGGCAGGTTTTATAGGGTAGGATTCTCGTATTGCAGGGATTGGAACCTCGATTTCAATTGTTCAGTATCAGACACTTCTCGCTCTCGCGCTGCACCAATATTATTTCACACGCATACGCGGAGATCACCTGCAAGATTTCTGTCGAAATCGGAGTAATAATAATCCTTCCATTCTTTCAAAACTTTTCCTCGACCTCGAGTCGATTATACGATTATGAATATGTTTAACAACATTAAATTTTCGTAAATTGATAAAATTGAACGAATTTTGTCGTTTTAACATCGTTGAGAAATCGTGCGTAGCGTGACGTTACTCCGATTTGGCGACGAGGTGTCGCGAGATAATGCCACGAGCCTAATGCTTAATTCGGCGATCAGGAATCCAAGAACCGAGGCGTATGGGGCACACGAGAAAGCCGCTACCCGGTGCGAGAAGCATAAGCGTGGCCGTGTCGACACCCAACGATCAATCGGACGTCAGCAGAACTTTGACGGTGATGCAGTGGGGTCAGTTCGTTGCAAACGACATTTCTTACACCCCGATGCGCAAAATGGGTAAGCGTTTTTTATGCTGGGGGCTTAAAAAGATTATTTTTGGATTGTACACGCGTAACACATTTTCAATTAAATTACATTTGGTAAAAATTCACTTTTCTTCATATCGCAATATATATTGCAATTGTTGCAAATAATATCGATAAATTATTTACAGTGTCGACAGGAAAGCCGATCTCGTGCTGTCGATCAGACGGAAACACCTTATCTCCCAGATACGTACACCCTGATTGTTCTGTAATTATGGTACCTGATCGAGATCCTATTTACGGGCAGCATTACGTACGATGCATGAATTACGTGCGATCGTTGCCGGTTCTTAAAGCGGAATGTACATTTGGACCCGCGGAACAGGTATATTTAACTTTCTTCGTTATAAATCTTGTTATTCTCATTAATCTAATTTAAATGCTTGTGTTAAAGATAAAAGAATTAAAAAAAAAAAAAAAGAAGAATAGTGTTTTGAATAGATAATAGAAATATTTTCGTTATCGTTTTGTATTAAATATAAATGTTGCTTGAAATTGATAATTTACGATAATGAAATATCGCGTATTAGAATTATTAGACTCAAATCTTAAACCGATTTTTTTTTTTCCTCTTGATAACAGATGAATCAAGCGAGCCACTTTTTGGATGGTTCAGCGATCTATGGTTCTACATTGAAAAAATCTCGTCAATTGCGCGAGTTCGAAGGAGGTCGTTTACGAGTTCACAAGGAGAATAATCACGAATTCTTGCCAATTGGAGAGGACGAAATCTCGTCCGCATGTGCGAAGAACTGTTACAATTCTGGTAAGTGTTTTTCAATACTTTAATCTAACTACTTTTGATTTGCAACGAAGAGCGAGGATTACATTCGTATCTTCGTGGAAGAATAAAATTAGTAATTATTATTTTATTTAATTAGTAAATATCTTTTATATCTTTTCGCAAATGATGATTTGAACATTAATTAAATTAAAAGACGATTTCTTTACGACGACACATTTGACTTTTCCACGTGTTACGCGTTCAGAAGTCTCCTCCCCATTTCATTACAAAGTTTCTATCGTAAATTTCACTGGATATGTATTCTTAATTACTTAGGTGATTATCGTGTAAACACGCATCCACAACTCGCTGTGATACATACAATCTGGCATCGCGAACACAACAGAATAGCCGACAAACTTGCCGAGCTGAATCCTAACTGGTCAGACGAGACACTGTTTCAAGAAGCCAGGCGTATAGTTATCGCTGAAATTCAGCATATCACGTACAAAGAGTGGCTACCTATATTGCTGGGCAAGAGGTATACCCGCGCCGTTGGACTCACAGTTGGAAATAGCTACAGTCGTAACTATAATTCCGAGGATGATCCAGCGATAAGTAACGAGGTCGCGACAGCAGCTCTGCGCTTCTTGACTTCTTTGATGCAAGGGAAAATAAGGTAAATTTATTTTTAACTCGCATCAAAGCCGTAATAAAATATATCAAAAACCGAGAGGAGAAATAAAAATTTTGTTCGAAGATCAAAGAGATATTTTTTTAGACGTCCGCTTCGATTTAAAGAAATGAAAAATACGTGTTTTTCATTTCGCTCATTTTTATTATTTTTGTTACAGTTTGACAGACAATAAACGCCAGATCAACAAAACAGTTTCTTTGTCGGAATACTTCTTCAAACCGATTATAATCGAGTCTGACGAAGTGTTCGACGGTTTATTACGCGGAATGGCTACTCAGACAAGCCAGAAAATGGATGTCAGCATAATCGAAGACGTGACGAGCAAATTATTCGCGGCAAGTCAAGATAGCTTAGGCTTGGATGCCATCAGCTTGGACATTCAACGTGGCCGTGATCATGGATTACCCGGTTACAATCATTACAGAAAATATTGTGGTCTTCCAGCTGCAAAGAGCTTCGACGATTTCTTAGATTACATTCCAATGGAGGTAAAATCATTTTGACGAACGATAAATATATTTAATGAACGTATTTTTCGTATCTCAATGCATATAGATTTTCATATAAATCAAAAAATATTGTTTGAAGCGTAATTAATATATAAACGATCTACAATTATTATTAAAAAATTATCAAAGAATTATTTGGTTAAAAGTTAAAAATATTTCCAAATTATTTTTATCTCAAATTTAATCGCGCGTTTAACAGATGATGAAGAAATTGCGCACACTTTACGCTCATCCTGATGACGTAGACCTTATTATCGGAGGTATGGCCGAGAGACCAGTTGATGATGGCCTATTAGGCCCCACATTCCGCTGTTTAATATTTGAACAGTTTTCAAGAACTCGTCGCACAGACAGATATTTCTATGATTCTGCGTATCAACCGCATCCCTTCACACCTGGTAAGAGACGCATTTTCATCGTCAAAGAGATGACATTTATATTGGGAAATATCGCATAAATTGCAATTGAAACTTTGTTACAGAGCAATTGGCACAAATAAGGAATGTAACGTTAGCAAGAATATTTTGCGACAATGGTAACAATATTACCCAAATGCAACCAAATATATTCCTCCGGCCACAAGCAGAGTAAGTTGATGATATTTTATCCAATTGTTTTACAATTTCGATAAGAAAACTTTCGTACAAATAATCTCCTTATATAACTCTTAAATTATTCCATTTATATCTTGATTCATTCATTTGTATCTATTTTATAAACATTATTAAATTACACATACTTATAACGATTATGAGAAAAACTGATAAAAGTCTCATATTGTGTCTCATTTGTATGTGTCTAAATAAATATAGAACTATATATAGAATCATATTCTAAGGTCGTAAATGAATTTTTCGAATTGAACATTTTTCGAAAAATGCCGCTTTAAAACATTTTAAAAGCTTCGATCAACTCACAATTACTTCTTTCTATGAAATGATATATTATAATAGTGTGACCCAATATCGCTTAATACTTTAATTTACGACCTTATTATATTGCTTACATTATTATTAAATATTATTTTTCTTTCCTATACAAAATTCTATAAATATAAAAAAAAAAAAAAAAAAAACTAAAATTAAACCTTTTATTTTTTTTTCTCTTTCTATCAGAAACGAGTTGAGGTCCTGTACAATGTTCGAAGCTATTCCCAGCGTGGATTTATTCGCTTGGGCAGAAAGGGCCAAGGCCTATCGTTGAACTTCCCCTTTAATTGGCTGGTCACATTGCCGCATCGGTTTGCCCGGGTCGCAGGACGGGCACGATATTAGAGATAACGAGACGATGATAGATTTTGGCATAAAAATCTTGCCAAACTTTGACACGTAATCTTATGAACGCGAAGGAAACGAAGGATGAATATTTTTTTTTTATCGAAGAACCGCGTGCGATCGAATGACCAACACAACGGGCACGATGAAGGGAAATAAGACAATTTGGTAGTATATATATACATATGTATGTATGCTACTCGAAAATCAATTAAATATAATAAAGAAACAAAAAAAAAAAAAAAAAAAAAAAAAAAAAAGGTGCATCCAACACACGTGACTAGTCGATTAAAACGAGCAAGCTACGGGGCTATGCTACGGAGAAATTATATTATTCTTAAGAGAAAGGGGAGGAAAAAAGAAAAAAAAAAAAAAAAAAGAAAAAAAAAAGAACGAGTGTTGTGTTCAATAGATGGAGATTCGATTTCAAAGAAACATTTAGATCTTACGGGAAATTTTTTTAAAATAATTTAGGAGTAACATGAACTCATATGAGAATGCACGCGAGTGAGAAGCTAGATAGAAGTCGTAGATACGCTAATTTCTTTAATCCTACGCTTAAAGTATAATGTTTTCCTTTGCGACGAGCATTCAATAGATCATGAGAACTTTTATTTTATTGATTCGCCATGTTTTTTGTTCTTCTACTCATTTATTATACTCTTTTTTAAAGTTTGAAAAGAGATGTTTTTATTTTGTTTCACTCTTTTTCATATATATTCTCGTGAGGTAAATGAAGTTTATTTTTGTATCTGAAAATTATTATACGATATAAGAGAACATGATATTTTGGATGCCCTATATAAGTATGCAAGTGGATGCATGAGTGAATCTTTTTGGTTATTGTACTTTAATCCATTGTGATTTAATGATGATTCCTTTTTTAAAATTATTTTAATTATTTTAATATATTCAGAATACATTAAAGTTGTAATCTTATACAATTATATTTCAAACTCTTGGTATATCAATTTTCTTCATAATATAATTACTTTTTTTATAAATAAACTTCAATACATTGTTTTTTTATGCGAGCACAGTATGTAATTATAAAAACTTTAAATTAATTATGACTAATTTGAATTTTGTTAATCAGTGCTCATTAATTAACAATAACATGTGTATATATGTCTTGCTCATCTTCCAATTCTTAGAAAATTGTATTTCTTGGAAAATTTACATATATAAAACATATTCCCATTTTTCATATTAGTACAAAGTATAGCAATATAACTATTCATACATATCAATTTTTCCAATCTTTTATTGAGCTCTCTATATGATAAGCAATATCTTATTTTTTCATCTTAATTTTCATAATTTAATTTCATTGTATCCAAATAGTTTCCAAGAAATTATGATGCGAATAAAAAAGAGAAATACAATGAGAAATCACAATGGATTGATACAATAAGAAAACGACTCGAGTATTAAATCAAATAATACCAATAATTTCAAATTAAGTGAAGCAATGAATTCAAAGTAGAAAGTCGAAATGAGAATTCAAACGAGCAATAAGTTTTGAGAAAATAATCGATATTGTAACAGATGAATCTAGTAATCTTTGTAATCTACATAAGTATTGGATGAAGAAATGCTTCAGAGATTTTATCATACCTATAATAAGATTTAAAAAGAACAGGAAGAAAATTTAAAAAAAAAGCAATATTTTCTTAATCATCAGAATATTATCTTTGCTCATATAAAATGAAACCAAATTTTAGGATTTTATATAATATTTTTAAGGAAATATAACTAGGATGTGATTATAAAAATAATATAATCAAATTTTTTAGTTAATATATGTATATATTTTAATTACTTCACTTTTATACAATAATTTTCAACACGATATTGTCTTTAACTATGTATCTCTGTTTAAAATATATACATAAGAATATTGAAAGAAGAATTACTGTAAAATCACTGTATGTTAGGATTACTGTAGAATTCTTCATTCAAGGCGATACACGAAAACTGTTGAATATCGATTGTTATAGGAAAGAGTTAAGTTTGATCGAGCAAAATTAAGGTCCAAAATCAAAATGAGAAATTTCTAAATACGATCACTTGCAATTTGAAATTTATCATCATAACAAATCAAATGAAACAAACAAGATAAAGTTTTTTAAAAGCCAAAAATACGTATTATGAAGAATCATAAAATAAGAACTATCTATCTATCTTTTCTGTATAATTAATTAAAATTTCTACTTTTGCTCGTTCAAATACGATACACTCTTAATATTCTCAACGACTAACTGCCACTTAGAAGCACGAACGAGATTTTTTTGAATTTGTTTAGAATATTTTTTTTTTTTTTTCTGTTCATTCTTGTCAATAACTCAAATTTTTAACAAAACTCTGATCAGCGTTTAAGTTGATTTGCATGACTGTAACGACTGAAATACTTTTAGGAGTATATGGAGTATGACTGATTAGTTTTTAAATAAAGATAATATTGTTGAACGTTTTATACGTGATTAGGATTAATTGTACTTAAGATATCCAATACAATCCAAACTTCAAAACTAATTGAAGATTGGATTAATCGTATTACGAAAATTAGAAAAATAAAGATCTAATCATTAACACTTGTAAATTTTATTATTCCTCGAAATTTCCCTATAATTTCTTTTTCTATATCTTTATTTTTTCCATTTTAATTAAAATTTTCCTATTATTTGATTATTATATCAAAAATAAATATTTTTTACTAAGATCAAAATATTGACTATTGATATATGAAGGAAAATTATGCATGGAAATTATTACGAACTAACGACAAAAAATAAATAAATTTTATTTTAAATCTAACCTATTATTTAGAAGACTGAAGGTACAGAATAGACCTAGCATTCAATGTCCTTTTTTCTAATCCCTTGCATTAGAATATAATATACTCATTTTTCGATAAAATATTTCAAAATTTTCTTTTTTTTTTTTCGTTTAATCCTATCCCTGATAACATCATTAGAACCGAATGATATCTCTCTGAATGATATCTGATGAAAAAATTCAAAAAATTCATCAAAATACAAAAATAGCAAGTGACCATGACAAATATGATTAATTATCTGACTAAAGAAGACAAACTAATCAATTTAAACAATTAACAATTGCAATCTGCTATTGAAATTAATAATCAAAAGCAAACTCAAAGAATAAAAATCTGTATTCTTTATATAGGAATTAACGAACTGATCTATCATAAAATATCTATCTATAAAAAAATATAATCGCAGCCAATTAGCTCATATTATTCGCTATAAAATTTATAATTGTATCACATGATATAATTATGAATTGTATAGTAAATAATGATGATTTCCCAGGTCTCACCGGCGTGGAGGTTGCTGCGAATCGGAGACCCACCCTAACCACGACGTCCCATCCACCCTCCTTTTGCGCGAAAAATTTACTTATCGTCAAATAAATTTTCTCCCTTTACGTGTACGTTTGCAAAACGTTCAAATTTTTGATCGTTGTGCAACACAAGCAGCAAAAGGAGCTATAAGCTAAAAATTTAATTTTCCGGCGCGGAAGACTAAATCTGAAAATAAAAGAAGAAGAATTAGAGAAAAATTTCTATCAATATTTTACATTTCCATCCATTATGAAAATGAAAAATAATTGATAGTTAAAAGCGTGAAAAAAAAAAAAAAGAAAAATAAGCAGAATAAGCACTCCCCATAAAGCACTACACACTACTTTGGCCATTATCTACTTATTTACAAATACATCTACTTTATTAATACCTTTTTCTTAAATTATGCATGCATTTAATTCTAATCTTCTCTTCTAATTCAATCTTCTGTTTCTGTAAAAGATCCTGAAACAAACTTAAATACATTAAACATTAAAACATTTTAAACATTCATCACAAACACAAAATCTCATATTCTCATATTCTCACATTCCTACTCTCAGAAGAAATTAAATATTTTGTTTATAAACCCTGTCTGTCGAAAACAACGTAAGAGATATTTTCAGTCACACAGTTTTTGACCAACGTCACAATTTTCAAGAATTTATGATACGAACACCACATGTGGTCTGGGAAAATGCAAGTGAGGAGATAGCTAGTGATCGAAATCACGTAGCTATCAAGTATTATAAGGATTTGATTGTTGATGAATGAGGAAATTTAGGAAGTTAAGGCAAGTGATCACGTTGCCTTAAAGAAATGGAAATATTGTTTCCGGAAACTTTGAATCAGAGTAGGGAAGGCGAAGAAGCCTTTTAATAAGAAAAAGAACATTAAACACATCACTTATAAATTTTACCCATCAGAAAATTGAATATTTCTTTCTATCTAACATCATATCTAACATAAAAATTGGAAAATTTATCTTATACCGAAGAAAAAATATGAGATTGAAGAAAGCTGCAGAATTTCTGAAACAGACAAAAGAACAGATTAATAAAATTCAATAAATTATAGCTCTTCTCTTCTATTTACTTTCTTCAAGTCGTACCTGTAACAAACTCAATCGATAGATTAATATTTAAAAACAAATTTATACATCTTATTAATTCTTAAAGAAAAATCAAATTGTCAAAATATGTAATTCATAATTTTAAATGAAAATTTTGTTCATTGATAAAAAACAAGTATATTTTTTAACAGTATTTTTATTAACAAATGTTCTTAATAAAAGGGATGCTGAAAAGAAAAAAACGACGAGAAGGTAACCAGAAGGGTTACCAAAAATAATATTTATCCACTCAATGTAAACCCGAGCAAACCGTGAGTGGACCATCTTTTCCATATTTCGCAACACTAATATACTAGATTCTTCAAAAAAAACGCGGAGTGCTTTATTATATTTACAATGCAATTCTTGATTAATAACAAAAAAAAAATAAATAAAAAATAAAAAAAGGATAGGTTCGTGAAAGTACACCCTTAGTGGGTGTTCCAAACATATTTACGAAACTTTAATAAACTAATTTTTGCACTCGTATCTTATTATACGCAACACTAACAGCAGAAAATTGCAGCCATATCAAAAAAGACTGCCGTTGTACAACCACTTTTGTGCAGCACTTGCGTGCACTTTTGGTTGCAATGATCCAGGAGCAGGAACATTTCCACATTCCAAGTGGAAGGAAATGGGCAATTTGTAAAACGTAATATTATTACAAAAAACGCGATCATTTGTCAACGCAACACTAATTTTTAAAGTGAATTGAATACAAAATTTATTATTATTCT